TGCTGTTTTCTCTGTCATGAAAGGAGCGAACGTTGACATGCAGTGCAGCTGGTGCCAACAGCCCAAGGCAGCTACGTGGCACCACTTGTGTTGGGAGTGCGGAGCTTTCGCGAGAGGCAGACCTCCTGAGCCTGCAGACTTCATGCAAGCACGCATGGCGTGGCCGATGGGGCGGGATGCAGAATATGACAGACAGGTGCTCCTGCACATGTTGAGTGTGCGAAGCCGCACGGCTGAGGCACGTCATAGCTCCGACAGTGGAAGATGAGCGTCTTTCTCATGCTCATCCTTGATCCGATGCTTCTGCACGGATGAAGTGGTCAGTTTTTCCGTCTTCTTACTCGGATTTGCTTTGACAGGACATTGTGTCGTTTTATCTTCGTCGAGGAGATGAACGGCATCCCAATCATAGACCCCCCACCCAAAAGTACGCACATTAATCTTCCCCGATTCACATACCCCACCAGCCCCTGCTTCCTCCGAAACACCCCGCGCGGAAAGCTTCTCTTGTTGCTGCTGCCGCCATCGGGGGATTGCGGCTGACATGTTCGCCCAGCATAGCTGGCGCTGAGCAGGGCTGCGGGGGTGACGACCACTTTCTTCTCTCAATGGCACGTGCATTGAAGCTGGAAAGAACCTGTACGATCAGCCGCGAAGCGGCATGCCTCGGAAACCACGCAATCGGGCCTGCCCGGGCTTGGGGCAGCGGTTGGGCAAATAGCAGCTGACTGGCATCCGAGTCGACGAGTCCACCCAAAGGTGCGGCCGCAGCTCGGACCGCCCTTTTGGCGAACTCTTGTGAGGCCCCAAAGCCAGCAAACTGGGAGCATCGACTCCACGAGCAAGGCCAAGCGCACGGTCGCGACGCATTGCAAGGGTCCGAGGGTCGCCCAGAAGAGCGGTGCCAAAGATGTCACCGATGTTCAATGCCAGCCGGGACGTGCCAGTTGTGGGAAGCCATTGACACGCAGCGCTTGCAAAGAGAATGCATTGTGTGAATCTCTGTGTGCCGTGCCTCCAAGTCAGAAATCCAAGTGGTGACGGACACTCATTCGCTGCATCGTTTGGTGCAACGGTGAAGGTTACTCTACATTCAGATATCACATGAAGCTTGACGAGCGCGACATCGCACGTCATAAACCTGACCAAGATTCGGCGGATCATCAAACTGCCGGAGTCCAATCAAGTATTGGGAATAAGCAATACCAACCGTTGTTTCCGACTTGCCTTGCTACGATAAACACTCAATTCCACGAGATGTTCATTTTGCAACACCATCTAGCACAACCTGCGCCACAGCACTTCGCAGTCATGCCGACTTGTCTCTGTGCTGAGGCTTTTCTTCGTCCAGTCGCTGGGCAGGAGAACTGCTTCATCGGCAATCCTTGCAAGTCTCTGCTTCTTCGGCGTGCATCTCTGCCGCAAAGCGTTCTCCCACAGTGCGGATCGTTCAACATTTGCAGCCGCTTTGGCAAGGTGATGGGGGCACAAGGGGAGGTGCTACACCGGCTGTCAGGTCATGAAAAGCGTCGTTTGCTCCTACAGAGCAAGCCGTCGGACCGGACTTGTCAACCTTTTCCTGCGATTCTGTTGGGCAGTCTGTCCGGCTCTCAGAACCGTCCTCGGGTCTGCACCTGACATGCAAGGAGCTTGCAGGAAAAATCTCCCAAAAAACGGTACCAGTCCAAACAAAGCAGCCAAATTTCTCAGTTGTCCACGCCACAAGCTTTGCTCGCTCGAGGGCTAGTTGACCAAGCTCACTGCTTGCAACCGCCTCACGGATGACGATGCAGATGGAGCATGGTTGAAAACTTCAATCCTATGCATCGCCCCACCTCTGTCAGTTCGCGGAAAGTAATTGCAACACGAGGTCCAGAGATGTCCTTCACACTATTGTGGAGTGCAGGCAGTTGCCTGGCTTAGCAAAAACCAAAACCAACATGAGTCTCCTCTGCCATTAGCCCATGTTGCCAGTCGACGCGCACCCGGCCGCTGATTAAGTACCTGCGTGAGACGGTGGCTCCCAACACCCATCAACAGCTATCCATGATCCCTCCTGAATTAGGAGGCCTCCTGAATTAGGAAGTATGGCTGCGCTGCGCACGCCGACCGTCTCGGCAGTGGGACTCTGACCACCACCTCTGCGCGGCAAGCTCTGTGTCTCGGTGTCTGATGTCTTTGTCCCTGGCGGGCCTCGTTCGCTGGGTCGTAAAATGTGAAAACCTTGGGAAGCTGGACGGACGTCGTGGAAAAGGCATGCACTTTGCACCCGGAATCTGAGCATTAAACCTGAAACCGTGAACCCGAAAATCCCAAGCGTCCCAAGCCTGAAGTCTCTACCTGCTTAGTAGCAGACCGACGCACTCTGCATCGACACACCAAGGATTCTGTCCCCCCAGAGCCACAGGTCATCTACCTTAGCGATTCAGGCAGGGCAGCCAAGAGAAAGGATTTATACGTGGATTTCCCAACACGGGCAACTGACAAGCAGGTTAGTGACTAGTGCCACGAAGTTACATGCAACGCATGATTGGCTCCGCGGTCTGCATCGTACCTACGAGGTCAAGACTCTAAATCTCCTTTCCAAGCTTGAAAAATGTTTGACTACTTGATAACCGTCGTCAACTCATCTCTGAATTGGGACAAGACCCGTGTGAGACATGACAGACAAGACTACGTCCATGACAGAAAGCATAACTTCCAGTGGGGCACCACAACGAGAGGCATTCTACGGCCTCAAAGCCTCAGCCCCAGGCACGGCGACTAAGGCCCTCCTGTGATGCAATGCTGTCTCGGCCACGGCGACGCGCAACACACTGAGACTACAACTCTGCAGCGTTTCAGATCCTCAGGGGACCCAGGACCGTCCACACTCATCTCTGCTTCGTGGAGCTGAAGCCGAGGGGCTGCAAATCAGGTTCGACAGCAGCTGCTGAGACCAGGATGGGAAGCCCTTCCAGGTCTCCGGAATCTTCACCTGCTGCTTCTTGAAGTTGGCCTTTGGGCCGAAGTCCTGAGCAGCTTTTTCAAAAATCCTGCCGGCAAGAAGCCGCCGTTGAGCCGCCTGTCCTGCTTCCAGCGCCCACTCTGCGATGGCTGCCAGGGCCAAGCCTCTGCGGTGTCAAGAAAAATGCCTACATTCGCGGTGCTCCGACGACTGCTACGACAGGTGCCTGGAGCTGCGCCAGGATCTCCATCTCCATATCCTCTCCACCGGGCAAGACCTATCACGCTGAACTCTGCAGGACCTGCAAAGTCTCAAGCAAAAAGGAGCCTCGTGGAACAACTCCAGCCCTTCGAAAGGCACCTGTGCCACGCTGCTTTGGGCACATTGCGCTGCCGAGTGCCTCTGCTCTGCTCTCTCGATTGGAGACCTCAAGGTCAGCTCCAGAGATCCGCTCTCCATCCTCGCTCCGTAGCCAGCAGCCTCACCAGGCTCAGAGCTCCCTTCCCTTCAGAGTCTCGTCGAAAACATGTAGTTCACCAACCACCCCTCTTCTTTAGACCTTTTCTTCCATGCACATCTGCACTCTCGCTCGCAGGCATCGGTCTCTGCTGCTCTGTAGAGCTGCAGACTCATGTTGGAAAGGTTTGCAAAGTCATGAATCCTCCAACTAGCTGCGAAGCTGGACATATTCTGGCGGCTTGAGCTGCCGTCATGTACGAATTCGGCGGCTGAGGTTGCCACAAAGGCAGCAAGGCCCAAGTTTCTGCACCCTTCCGGCTATCCGAAGGACACTGAGACATGCGAAGCTTCAGGCCTTGACTCCGAGCTACGACTTGGAAGGACTGGAGTTTCCCAGTCACTTTCGGACTCGCATGGACCTGCAATCATAAAGATTCTTACTCACTGTCTCGCACTTTGAGAGGCCGCTGTAAGCGAGGTGACAGATCAGTGAGACATTGGCGAGCAGACACAACAACTAAAAACCATCACACCTGCCACAAACATGTGCTGAATACCACGTACATGTCTGCACATCGCCCACATTGCATTTACAAGCATCGACTCCGTGTTGGAGGAGCTGGAGGGCCGAGTGGGCAAGATGCGGAGAGCTGCGGGATCAGTCTTCCTCCGCGATCTCCTCGTCCACGTCCTCGCCATCGGCGGCCTGAGCAAGGCATCAGCTCGTGCGGCAGACAGAGACGCATGTGTCGCGCGTGGACGGGCTTGGCATGGGAAGACTACTACGAGATACTGCGTGCACCTTAGCATACCAGGTCTGATAATGATCAGCCAGGCGCATAAAAGAAAGACGCTTCTTTGTGGTCTTGCCGGAGGCTTGACAACTTGGCGTGAGATGTCTCAGTCCACCACGGGCGCAGCAGGAGCTGCTTCCGACTCGGGCAGGGGCTGTCCAACAGCACCTGGACTGCACAGCGGACTTCACAACGACAGCAAACATGCAAATTTGCCACTCTGCATGCGAGGTACCGTAGATGCGTTCGAGAAGGGCCCTGTCCAGGTACGGTGTGAGCACAATGCCGTGCTCTCTCATTCGCTCCACCGTCCTGCCAAGAGAGCTGTCTGCAGATGCTGCAGACCAAAAGAACTGAAAACAAAAGAATGGCAAGTACTCCCGCCTGTATGCAGAGTTGTAGTCATTGAAGTCAGTGTAGTACTCCACAAGCTGTGCGAAAATGTCGCCGGTTCTGACCTTGCTAGCCACTCTCTACAAGCGGCACAGCAAGGTGCAGCTTTGTCGGGTGCGAGACAGCGCTGTCTATGTTTGGCGTGCTCACCATCCTCTCACAGACCTTGGGAACTCTCACTCGACAACCGAGGAAGCCCAGCAGGTCAATCTGAGCATTAGCACCGCAACCATTTGATCTGGCTCGGTTTTGGCAATTTTCCTTCGGCAGAGCCACATGCTGACTCTTTCCACTCTCACCATTGTGCCGTAGTATGTTCGTGTGGTCGCTTCATAAGTGTTTGTCACACATCACTCGCTCACCATGCTATATCTACACATCATACTGTTGTATTGAACCAGCGTACACATCAAAGGGCACATCGCCGAACACTGGCAGTGTCCCGGCCTCACACCTGCAAACTCATCGACAAGAGCGATCCGACTCTGCAGAGATATCACCTGGCGTCGGAAGGCTACAGAAGGGTCCCCCTGCTTCATCCTCCCTTGCTCCCGTGAGCGGGAGAGGCGAGGCAGTGGAAGCCAACTCCGGCGGCAGCGCTCGCTCGTCGCTTTCTGCCGTCTCGCCAGCCGCCTCAGCAGCTTCGCTCCGCGCAGACCACGCAGACCCTCTCGAAACGGCACAGCTCACCGGCCTTGGCCATGTACTTCAAGGCCTCTCGGAGAGCGCCGCCCGCCTTCTCGTAGTCCCTGTACTCATCAATCTCTACCTGTGAGGCAATGCAACTGCAGCAAAGTCTAGCTAAACTTTGCCATCATGGGAGATCAGACCGTCCGTTGCCTGCTAAGCAGCCATTCGCACAACCGGGATTCACGCACGCACGAACCGAATTCGCATGTCCGAAACTTCGCGCACGCGCGCGCTTTGGCCTTTTTATGCTACCGCGGCATCTTCAGGAGACGGATTCGAACGGACCCTAACCCCCAGGCCCCAGGGCCCAAGACCCTAAACCCTAAACAAACCCTCAACCTGCCCTCTTAAGAAAAAACACAGCACAAAAGTGTGCTGGAATCGCCAGTGCTTAGATCACTGCCAGTTCTCGAATCGTGCTTCAGCGCATTTGGTCACGCGTGGTTCACAGCGTCAGAAGCTGCGCTACTCCCTATCGCATATATCCAAGTCGAGGACACCCTCCTCCTTAGCTCGTCGCCTGAGCACAGGCATCGTAGAAGGACGCCAACTTGTCGTAGGCCTGGCTGGCTCGAATCTCGTGCATTTCTGCAGGGACAGCAATCTGAAATGCTGTGCCCCGCCTTGGCTTTGCTGTAGAACTGAATGATGTTCCTTGGGTTAGCCAGAGCAGTCAGCGTGCTGAAAAGCAGTCTTGACTCAGTCTTGACAGTTGAACCGAGTTGCTTCATGATGTCCGGATCAGCATGCCCTGAGATGTTGGGTTGAACTATTTCGCTGGGCCACCGCCTTTTTACCTTGCCCAAGCTGGGCAGGGGGTCAAGACAAGACTTCAGGTCCCCACAGTCCAGGCTCTGCAAGTAGTTCCTGAGGATTCAGGTTCAGATCACTTGCCATGAAATGTATATTTCCCCTCTTGTTGATGGCAAACATCTGATCTGGGCGCACCCTGCCAAGACGTAGATGTCTGGCCTCGCTCAGAGAGCTACATGCCAAGGCTGCCTGTGGGGTTCGCTCCGTTTTGACCGGCCTTTGACCAAGAGTCAACTGAGAGTGGCACTGCCGCGCAGTACCAGCAAAGAAAATGATCTTCTCCGTGTCACCGCTGTTCAGCAAACTCTTCATCGCCTTTCACACGATGCTTGTTGCGCATGTGGCAAGACCATGTTGCCAGGACATGTCGCGCCTTGAGCTTGTCTCCAGCCTCGCATTACCAACAGTACATCTGCATGGCTGTATGGAGCTCGTGCGTGTGCTTGTGCTCACGGCGCCTGTGTGAACTTCTTGCAGGCAAGCTGGAAGGACCCCTGCTTCTTGCAGAGCTTGCCAATGTCCTCTAGCGGCATGTTTCGCAAGGACAGCTGCCCAAGAGCCCTCAAAGCTTCTACGTGCACAAGCGTGTGCCGGGATGAGTGGATGGGACAGAGGCTCCAAGAACTGAGAGGTGTCCTGCAAAATCTCTGACCTGGAAGTCGCATCCATACCTGCGGCACAGGCACGACTGAGCTGAAGAACGCCTTGCCTTTGCCATGACAACTTCGTTACTCTCAGTTCGGGACTTCCTTTGTCCGGGGTCATCCGCTCTGCCATGTCCTGAAACTGCTCGACAATCAATGGGCGTCACACCGTGCTTTAAGTACTCGCAAGCCAGGAAGCAAACTAGCGCCTGTCATTATCAGATTACATATCGGTCGAGTGGGCAGCAAGGCCTCAGTGATGTGCACGTCGTGCTCTGTGCAAAGCCTTCCAGGAGTTCTATCACAAGATATCACAAGTGCCTTTGCATTTCATCGGCGTCTTCCGATCGCACTGGAAGATGCACCGTACAATGGTGAGGAACGAGTGCGTAGCAACGAACTGATGCCAAGAAGCTGCACCGCTCGGTCATACTGCTTGGAGATAGACAGCCTTGAGGGCCACTGCCGATTACTTTCAGACAGCTTGTGTAGAGCTTTATCTCGCATCCAGGTCTGTGACAGGTGGACCGCTTTGTCGTGCTGCTCGTGCTGCATGAAGAACTCCGCACCTTGAGGCTTGCCGCAACCCTTCTGCAGTACTGATACATGCAGATGATAACAGTGATAACTACCATGAAAACGGAAATCTTCTTGGGCATCCACATTTCGCGAGTATGGCAGGATCCTCAGCACCAGCAGAACCAAACAGAGGGAAAGTGGTAGATGTAGCAGCACGGCAGCGGCCGCAAGCTGAAGCTCGACCTGTTTTTCCCGGCCAGCGCTGGTCTATGAAAAGAAGAAAGCTCCAGCAAGGCCGAACCCAACGAAAAGGTCCACCAGCTGAACCAGTTGGGAACCCAAGCCTGGGGCCCGGCATCCGACGTAGAGACGCAACCAGCCAAGCGATTGGAGCGATTGGACGAGGCTTTTTGTTGAGCTTCGATGGTGAGGAGGCTCGTCCTCGATCTTGTGGTGTGTTTTCTATGTGCTTCGGCTTCTGGTCGATCCATCTGAGAACTCTAAGTAAGCTCTACAATCGGGTGCACAGCTAAGCGTGACAGCACAACACTGCCTGCGGCAAAGTCCACAGATGCGTCGTGCTTCTTCTAGAATCTGCGGCTATCCGCACACTGAATTGGCAACAAACGAATTTCCATGTTCCCCTGAGAAATTCGCTGGGAAAGTTCAAACTACAAGACCAAACTAACACAGCAAAGCGCTGCCGGTGATGGTCTTGCAGTTTAGCGGGCCGATGGCGAATTAGACGTCTTCGGCAGTTCGTAAAACAAGGTCATGCCGCCGCTTGCTGCGGTCTTTGGCCGGCATCTGCATGGGACAGCTGTGAAAGTTGGCATTCAATCTGCTCTCCGAAGACGAGCTATGACGCTCTCACATCGGCATCAGGCTGCGGCCGCTGTTGCGGCAGGGGGCCGCCCTGTGACTGGATCCGTCCCCACGGGACGCCTTGCAGGTTTGCTCTCAGAGTTGTCGACAACTATTCTCCCGAAACCAGCCTGAAAAGCAAAATGTGCGGCTCAGGGCGGTGGAACTCGTAATGGACCCATCCGCGGCTCTGCTGTACTCCCACCTTCATCACAGGGAGGTGTCATGGCTACAGTGGCGGCCGTCACGAACCCAGCCATTGCAGTATGCGGCAGAGCTGCGCCCCGCCACTCATCCTCGTGAAGAAAGCCTGGAGTTTCTAGGCGAGGCAAGCGGCCTTGTCACAAGAAATGCTGAGCGCCCTGCGCTTGCCGCCCCCGGTCATTTTGAAGACTTCCTGCGCAAATCGGCGCACCCCCAATTCTGCAACAGGGGTATTGATCCATTTGCTAAGGAAGCTACATCTAATCAAACGTCAACGACATCCTGCACCGATTGAGGCTACTTGCATGGCTCCTTTGCAGCCTGCTTGTTCAAGATTACGTGGCGGTACTCAAATCTGTCATCCTGCAAAGCACACAGGCAATAGCAGCCAAGGGCACGGGCGAAATGACCACTTGAGAAAAACCACAGCACTTTCTCCTGATACCTCTCCGAATATTCGATCTCGTCGGGATAGTGCACCATTCTCGGCCTGCCGTGGCAGGCATCCTTCTTTTCGCCGTTGCACACATGAAGAATTCTGAGACACACGCTTCTCTTGCTTGGTATCGGGTGCACGCTCTGATTCAGATCACTGAGCACAACGCGGCTGCAGGCTGCGGCGCGACAACAATGAATGGCAATGACAGAAAGGAAGTCCGGCTCAGGAATAAAAGCCGGCACGAGCACATGGTACACATCGGTGCTAAGCTCTCCACGCTCTCTGCACTGAGATCATCTGCGATCTTGCGCAGCGCATCAAAGAGCCGTGCCGAGAAGCACAGCTCCAGCGCCCTGTGCACAGCTCGAAAGGCTCCCGCCTAAGGATTCCCTAAAGCCGCGGTTGTGGCCTCTTCTGCTGACCGGCCTTTTGGTAGAGGATGACCTGCAGTTACCAGCTCTTTGTGACAGTCTTTAACTTCAGGCGGCGCTCCAGGACGACCCATGCTCTGACCGAGGCGGCGGCTGCTTTCTGAGGCTGCCCACGCTGCTCGTAATACTTGGCAGCCTGCTCCAGGCCAGGTTATGTAGATGCACTAGCAGCTCGAAGCTGCGTTCTGCGTGGCATGATCATATTTCGCATATTTCCCTTCTGCCTGAGCCATGCTCTGAGGATCTGCAGACAGTGCCAGGCTCATGAGGTCTCCGTCGAAGTTGTTCTCCTGAAGTTGGTGATTCGACAGTGCGGAATCCACGGCCGGTAAAGGCTACGCTGCCAGTCCTGGGCTAGTCGCAGTGCATGCCCCACTCGTCCGGCCATCTGGAAGTAATGTATGGCCTCCTTGAAGCTGCCCCCGGCCTCAAATGCTTGGAAGTGGAGTGGCCCAGGTGCCTGCCGACATCGCGACCTTTCCTGGCCTCCAAATGTCTTGCGAGGTGGTAGCAGGCTGCCTGGTCCTGCGAAACCAGAACAAAAAAAGACCCAAGAAGCCAAGGCAATCCCGCAGCCGCTCAGTCCTGCGAGTCCTCGCAAATCCTCTGTGCGCTTTCGAGATCCTGCGCCGCACGATGTCGCAGCAGGCAAAAAAGCTCCGAAGCTACGGATCCAGTAGAGGGCCTCGTTGAAGCAAGCGACGCGGCAGAGGCTCAGCCAGTCCCCGGCCTTGCACAAAAACGAGGTTTGGCTTAGGGCCTGGGGAGCCAAAGGCTAATTTTCGCTGCCTTCTTGTACTCTCGCGAAGCGCCATCGAGATCCGCCTTTGACTCCAAGTACTGGGCATACCTGACATCAGACTCAGGCCATGTCTGAGTAATTCCTGTCGAGTTTCGGTGAACTGAGCATGGCATGAAAGTGGCACCATCTGTGCAGCTGCGAATCGTCACTCTGCTCGACATAGCTGCCCAGGTCCTCCAAAGGCACTGCAAGCCCCATTCCCTAACCTGGCCGCCTGGCCGCACAATGAGAGTGAGCCTCCGTCATGCCCATGGAGCAGAGCCTGAGGACGCGTATCGCCACCGAGAAGGGAGCAGGGAGCTGGGGAAGCCCTTGAAAACTGAAGCCCCGGACAGTCGTGGGGACTCGGTGCGGTAGGTGCCGGAGAGCTCATAATGAGTCAGCGCCCCTTGCACGTCCTGCCCATCTGAACTGCCAGAAGACCGACCAGAAGTCGAAGCGTCGGTTAACAAACGTCGGCTCCGAGCCTCCACTGCCTCCAAGTGCTGCGCATATGCAAAGTGGGTCGGCTTGAGATGAATACGATCCTTGGCTCTTGACTCTTCGCACAAGTCTGCGTCTTGCAACCTTCTGATTTGAGTCGCAGTCCTTGGTCTTCGCAATCTCCAGGGCCTTCTCCCACCTGAGGAATGATGGGCCGATCGACAAAAGAGGAAAAAAAGCTGGTATCGCTATTGGCTTTTCTGCTCTTCTTGTGCCGAGCATGCGGCGAGCCACAAGCCTCACAAGACGCGCAGGTGCTACTGAGGTGACTCCATTCTGCGGCCTGGTACAGCTGATTGAGCAGGTCATACCTTCCACACTTCTTCCTGGCCATCGCAATGAACCACACTTCATGTTGAGCACTCGCTTGCTCCTAGGTCTTCAACCTTGCCGGGCTGACAGCAACTGTTCTGCATGGTCGACCATGTCCAGGTGTACGGCGACGATTGCTAACCGTGCCTGGCAGTGCGAATCTGCATCTGCTATCGGTGCTCAGACTTAACTGCTCTGACGCATTGCCCTCAACTGCTGCACAAGGTTAGGCTCGCATCTAGGGAGCTTGGGAGTTTTGGCCTTGGTCGCCCTGCCCTTTTTGTCTTATTAGAACGAAGCACACTTTCCAAGCCTGGTGTTTGCTCTCACCGGTAATTGACTCCCTTTGGCGGCCTCGGGCTCCTGTTCCAGGCAAGCACGGAGCGCCCCGGCTGCTCGGGCGTGGCCCATCTGCCCCAGGCACTTCTGGGCCACCTCTTTGTGAGGCTTCTCTTGGGGGAACTTGCGGCTTGGGCTCCAGCTGGACGGACCAATCGGCATTTGTGCTCGCGCCCAATGCAAAGAGTGCGCTCACTTTCTGGAAACAGCACTCAGAAAGCGAGTCACCTATCATAGGGCTTACGCATTGCAGCAAATTCGGCTTGCTGGAGGCCGTGAGGGGCTTTGCAACTGGATTGGAATGTTGCTTGCTGTAGGCATTGCTGCATTTACGTGTTCAGGTGGGGCAGGTAACCAGCAGCACCTTATCTTCAACACCCCGACCTCTGGAAGCCCAGACACAAGGCCCAAGGCGTCGCATCATCCCTGAAACTAACCCAAACTCACAGAAGCCTACAGAAGTCCAGAAGACCTCCACTGCCTCGCAGCCCTTTGAGCCAAGATCCCCAAGCAAGAGAGTGCAGGCGGGCGGCATCCAAACGGCCTGTCTTCACCTCAGCACTGACAGAGGCTAGCAGAACGACCACAGACAGCGAGAAGCAGTACCACACATGCAAAAGACGAAGGTGTCGATCATCGACATGATCAACGCTGTTGCATCATCATCGTAAGCATCACCATCAACATAACCAACATCGGCATTATCATCACCATTACCATCGTCATCGCAAACAGCAACAGCAGCAGCAGCAGCAGCAACAACAACAACAAGGCATGGCTGCATGTGCATCACGACATGCGGAAACAGAGCCCCTGGTGAGAAGTCAGACAGCACGGTATCATCCCCCTACGCCCTAACCCCAGTAGCATCACATCATACTAGCACGGGCATCAAGCAGCATCGTCATGACGCCAAACCTGAAGGACCCTCCATGATCCCACTCGCCGGCCAGAATTGTGCATACTTTTTGGGGCGAGTGGCGTACATGGCATCAGCAACAACAAAAACGACAATAACGGCAGCAGCAGCAGCAGCAGCAGCAGCAGCTGCGGCCGAATCATTATCGCCATCGAGCCTTCGGCATCATCCTCCTCCTCATCGTCAACATCATGCTCATCACCATCATTTTTCTTTTTATAAATCTTATTATTCGTGTTCATCATCTTCTTCATCCTAGCAATCATGCTTATCAATGTCATCAGCATCAACGCCATCATTATCGCAATCACCACCGACAGAATCACCACCATTGTCATCGTCGCCATCATCGCCATCACCAGTGCCGTGATGATCAGCATGACCCGCACCACCACCGTCATGGCGATATGATGTGTGGCATCACAACAGGCTAGTAAAGCGCTGTGTTCGGTCGTATCGTTCCACTAGCCCGTCGCACCAGTAAGTTCGGCATGCATTATTTGTAGCTGCCGTTGCTGCCTGCAGTGAGTGCCATCACTCTCCTAGTCATACACATCATGACGGCTTTTATTGTCATCGATGCTTGCCATGGCAGACATCGTCTTCACCCTGCCATCAGCGCAAGTGCCACCCCCTACCAGGCATATCATTATTCTTACAATAGTCTGGCGACAAGTCGAGACGTTCGCTCTCTAGCATCAAACGAGTTTTGCAGCTGGTGTCATCGTCAGCGCATGCACCCAGAGTACATCAAAATCAAAGGGGCGAGCTCCTTCAAGCTGAAACGCAAGATGCAGCCAGGCTACGCACATCTTGGACATGCTCTCCCAGACCCCTGTGGAGCGCACACCTTTGACGCTCTTGTATGCCTGCGGGATGTCACGAAAATGGGACGTGGCTCTGCTAGCATCAGCAATCATGTTACCATGCGCAGTGCAGACATCTGGCAGCACTCTGCCAATGCGAGCCGAACGGTACACGTCTGGCAGCAGCATTCTGGCACCTCATCCGTGTTTCCACAGGCCAGGTGGTACGAGAAGTTGAGCATAGCCTGCGAGAAATGGTCAACATGAGCAGTTTGCTGTCCGGTGTTCGAAAAGACCGGGGATCGTGCCGCGGTCGTCTCTTCGTCCATGTTCTCCAGACCAGCAAAGTCTCTAAGCACCGTTCGGCTGACCAGAGAAGATGCTGGCTCCTTGCGAAGCACTCTAAGGGGCCCAGGTACCCGCATTCCCACATATTCCACTCTGGACATTTCTTGATGCACTCCTCCGGAGAACCCTCGGCTGCCTCCCCTTGCCGGGCAAAGTAGACGTGGGGCCTTTGAGGCGGATACGAAGACAAGTCGTGATGTGGTAAGAGGACGATGATGATTTATGGTAGATCGCCGCATAGACGACCAGACAGCAAGAGGTGAAATGGAAAGAGAGCAGACACCTGAGCCACACCTTTGTCCAACAAACCTGGCCCCATTCGCCACCCTAAACCCTAAACATAAGACCACTAGCCTGCAGTCTTGTCGTTGCTATTCTTGTCTTGCTGCTGCTACAGTACTACTATGTAGTAATAGTATACTCGATGCTCCTACAAGTACATTCGATTTCGGTCGCACCCGGGTCTCATACGGGACATGCCTCTCAATTTTTGGCCTCATCGGTTGGCTTTCTGAGGGCGCGGCACCATCAGGGCCACAGGCATCTGAGTGACGCTGTGGTCTGGATCCACGCAGGGAATGCTGTCCTGTAAGAGCGGCTGGGAGTGCGATGCTGCCGTACAATATATGGTACATAGTATGTACTATGTAATGTAGAGCATATCGGCATATCATATATAACATACAGTACATAAAAGTAAATAAAGCTGCACGTGCGAAATGCTAAGACAACGCATGCAACACACGAGCCTGCAGGTGAATCTGCTCGGAGTTCGCGACGAACAACGTCATCGCACAATGCTGTGGCTGGTTCTTTGCCTGACGGGGCTTTGAAGGCTGCAAGTTGAACTGGGAAGCCCTGAACAGACCTCATCCTCCATGCTCCCGGCTGTGGAACTCGGAGGCTGTGCCTGCAGCGGAGCCACAACGGCATCGTTGCAGAGGCCAGGGCTCTTGAAACGGTCCTCTCCGTCGTACGCGAGGGCCTGCGGCACCTTACATATTTGAGTGAATGAGCGTTCTTCGATTCAATGGTCCCTGCACGAGCTCTCTCAGGCCCAGGCGACTTCACAGCACAGAAGCCGACCGTCCGAAGCGTCCCAGAAGTGAGCTACGGGGACACTGCCTCAGCCCCACTCGGCTCTTTCACTCGGAGGAAACCGGGCCAGTGCCCGTAAGCTCTTCACTTTTGCCAACCGTATACCTGAGAGGACTTGCAGACTTACAGCAAGCCACTCATTGGTCGGATGGGCCATGTGCGCCAGGAGCCGGAACATCGGCCATGTTAGACTGTACAGGCGTCAACCTGATTCCAACAATATTCCAAGCAATGGCCAGCTGAGAGACGTGAGGAAGTTGTCGGAGTCCGTGTCGTACACGAACATGCGTCCATCAGGTACCCGCAGGGCGCCGCCCTCTGTTGGCTGGCCGTTGGCACCGAGCCTGCTAAGAAGTCTTGATTCTGGAAGCGGTTCGCACGGACTGCCAAGAAGCTGCTTGCCTCTGGTCCACGAGCATCGACACTCGAGTTCCGGTCTTGTTGATGCGCACTGACCTGGCACAGCACAGATGCGACCCGCTCGGGCGACGTTCCTTGCAGGCCTGGCCTGATTTCGCCGAGCGACCGTTCCTCAAGTCCTTCGAACTTCCTGCAGCGCGAGCACCCAACTGTCACAGAGGCTATTCCCCCCGGTTGTGGTGCACTGCAAGACTGACCACTGATGCCACCCCAGTCTTTCTTCAAATGCACCTTTCGCTACGTCAAATTCACACACTGCTGGCCTCGGAGCACCTATCGGTTTCGGCTTATCCTGGGACACCTTCCAGACCTTAGGCGCATCGTCTGACAAGCTGCGATTCCCGGAACGTCATGGGCTCGACAAGGTTGGGAAGCTGGCTTTGATGAAGTTTAAAGAGGTGGAGGCCACCAAAAAATCACCGCAGACATCCAGGCAAGTAGGAAAGCCTTCCACCTGCAGCTTCAGGTGTCGCAGTCACACACACAATTTCTTGCCGAGCCTCCTCGGAGAACTGAATCGTTTTCTGCACATGACCTGCGGAAATGGGCAAACCCCCAAACCGAGCCTTGGAAGCATCGTGAAACCTGATTGTCGTTATCAGGTCGGCCTTGCTTGTTTGCGAACTCGATTTTTGCGCCACTGGCCATGGCCACCACACGATCATGGCCTGAAGCTTTACATTTAGCCACGATCCCAACCTCCCGGGCTGTCTCGAGGCCACGGCTTTGGCAGAAGAGGGCCGCAGCCACGATGTCGTAAGATCGGGTAAACTGACTCAAGACCTGGCTGTTGCTCGGTCTCCGGCTAGCTTTGATCCGTGCCTTTACAAAAACTGCACCTATCTTAAACTCGATCACTAAGAGAAAAGAAGCAAAGCATGCAACCTCACCGCAACCCAAGATGTCACGAAACTTTCTGCCATGCAACCTCACGACAGCGTCCGACACAAGCTCACATCAACAGCATCACATTGACATCATGCCGTCCAAAGCACCTCGACCGAAAAAACGCTATACCCACTTGGTCGTCTTGTTTTATTCTCTCCTTCAACAAGCAGAGCACATGCTTCAAGATGTCAGGGACACTGAGGCTTGCATTGTGACATCGATGTCGTACAGCATGATCTGCAGAGGCCGAGCTGTCTCCATCACTCTCTTGTTCACATCTGCCAAACATCTCGCCTGCTTGCTATTCCACAGGAGAACCGTGCTTCCGCCCACGCTGACACCCTCAGAAGAATCGGCTGGCGCTGCACAAGCAACCCGGTTGTATCAGCCGCGAGCGAGACCAACCCGCCTTGACGCGGAAGGGTGAGCTTAGGCCGATCTGCATCTGCTTCTCCGTGTGATAGATCATGATCTGCAGAACGGCGGCCAAGGAGTCTAAGACTTGCCCGCAGAGCCACTTTGTAGCTTCCCTGCCTCCGCCGGTGCTGTTTGAACTGCCATGATAGGTGCTTGGAAGGCGGTGTTCAGCTGGGCCTGCCATGGGTTAGACAACACTAAAATCAAAAAAGTGCCGCTTGGGCGGCATGAAGTTGACTCTGCCTCGGAGAGAATGACGCTCTGACGATCTGTCCTGAAAATCGCATGTCGCATCTTACCAGCGGAGGGGAGCTTGGGGAGCTTCAACCTCCGACTTCATCCCGCGACCCTGCAAAACTCCGCCTCTCCTGACATGGACGAGGCTTTCCCCCGGACCCCAGGTCAGCTTGTCAATGGTGCAGTCGCTGACGCTGATGACAGGGAGCACCTCGGCAGGTCGAGGCGACGAAGTTCCTCTGCCGTGGAAGTCACATGCTTCTGCTATGGAGAGAGTTGTATACATGAGAGAGAGTTCAGGTGCGACACCTGCCAGTTGGACTCGGTCTTCGGGGTACCAGAAAGTGTGCAGCAGCGCCACTGCACCTGAGCCGAACATGTGTTGAACCTGTAGACAGTCTGACGCTGCCTGTACGCGAAGCAGAAACATGGCGGAACACTTTTTCCATCACCTCGTTCAACTCATTCCGCAGCGATGTGAACAGTACTGAGATTTTTCAGTAGCCCGGAGGAAAACCTCCGACTTGACCCATCTCCTGCACGGGAGTGCCATTGCACACATATCCAATCCTAAGCTTCATGATCAGGCCCTTCTCGCCGTTCGATGAATTCACACAGTTCATGGTTTGTGTGACCAAGTCCGTCTGGGGTGGCAGAACCTGCCCTGTTGCCGGCTGTAGGTTCAAGGTACAATACTTCGGCACAGCAGCCTCAAAGTTAAAGTTGGTCATCGGCACGTTCAAGGAGTTGGAGAACTTGGCCAGAATCGTTGAAGCGCCATTCGCCTCTTTGCGCGGGAAGAAGGTCACTTTCAAGCCATTCTTCTCGAAGGCCACCATAGGTGGAGCCTCTTGGGCCGCTACTGGCGGAGCAGGCTCCGACTCACCTCCGAAGATATCAAGTAAGCCAAGATCTCCTCCGCCTGCGGGGCCTGCGGGGCCTGCGGGGCCTGGAGCCGGAGCCGCCACTCCTCCTCCTCCTCCTCCATCCAGCAAATCTAGAAGATCTCCTCCTCCTCCTCCGCCTCCTCCCACGCTTGCAGGGGCGACGGGCGCCGGTCCTGAAGGCTGCGATGCCGGAGCATCAAGCAGGTCGTTCAAGTCAAGCAAGTCCTTGCCCCCAGCTGGAGGGGCTCTAGCACCACCGCCAGAAGGCACCTCGTCTATCGAGGAGTCGCCTACATCTCTGCTTTCAGCTCCGCCAATTTCTCTCTCTGGCACAGGCATTCGGTCCAGGATACCTGCCCGGTGAGAGTCCCACTCGGAGCTGAGCAGCTCCAGAAATTCACAAGAGCGCTGCTGTAGGTCCACATGAAGGCTGGTGTCGAACCTCCTCAACAACTTCTTGATTCGGTCAAACTCACTGGGGCATCTAGTCACGAGCTTGATCAGTGCTGCAGCCACTAGACAATGCGTTGCAGGTGCCTTCTCAGCCGTGGGAGGTTTCCGCACCACATCATGAAGGAGGTCCAACACATCGCCAGGAGTGACGCGGATTGGCTGATTGTCCGGGCCCACAGCACGTCCAGACACCAGATGGTCTCCAAACTCCCCTAGACACCAGACTCCTACATGCACAAGTGCTTCCTGGGTCAAGCTTTCTTTCATGTTGAAGTAGAGCTTGATGACAGTGTAGGAGTGCAGCTCAGGGGTCGCTGCTACCACCCGGCAGAACTTCTCTCGCTGCTGCTCTTTGACGAAGTTGCCTCCAAGGCACATCACTTTGATGAGCGTGTCGATCTGCCATCTTCGGTTGGGGGAGAACTTTTCCACAGCCAGGCAAACCCGACTGCACAGCTCCTCCTTGAAGTCTGGCTCTGCCACGAGCAAGTAATTGAGCAATTCCTTAGTCATGCTCTTGATGTTGGACTCGTCTACTAAAGAGTAGGTGACATCCAATGCTCGCTTTCTGATGGAGATGTCCGCATCCTTGAGGCAATCAATGATGGTGTTGCGATGTCGCTGCATGACCTGCTGGTCCACATTCACGACACGCTGTAGGGTTGCCAAGGCTACGTAGCGGATGTTGTTGTCCCGACTCAACAAGAAGCGTCCAAGGATGTTGATCCCTAGCACTCGTAGTCCGCTCTCTGCCTTGATGGACATGATAGTCAGGACGCACTCATACAGCATTGCATTTCCCGTGTTCTTGGTGCCTTCCGTGTTGGTGGCGACCTGTCCCATGTCGTGTACTGCACAAAAACGATAGACCATGACGAATCAAGCACATGCTTCTGTTGTTGGTTCGAGTCCTGCAAGACCGCAACTTGTAGCTACTTTACCGTGCCATGGAAGCATGGGCGATGACTCATCGCTGGGACAGGATCCAACAAGAACATCAGAAGCGAAGAAAGCATCAGGAGTATGCAGCTATGGAACTCGGACACGAGCGGCTATGGAACTGGGACGCGAAACAATGCCAGCCAAATGAATCATTCACGGTAGGACCACAGAGACGCGCTGCCCGTTCAGCTACTAACGATATCGCCAGTCTGACTATAACAAATGTTGCTATTCATCAGGACGACTCTTGTTGATATGACGGCTGGCTGCCACCGCGATTGACACTGGGCAGTCGCGTGGCAAGTCCACTGCTAGGCTCTAGGACAAACTGTGTCTGCAAAAGCACAACAGACTCTGACTATAAACCTGAACTAAACCCGAATCCTAATTTTGAATGGAAACCCTTAGCCTGAGCCAGGATATCGTTCATCTCATCGCTTGCATCCACGCTGTTCTCCCCCAGGATGCGCAAGAGTCGCAGGATCTTGGCCTGCAAGAAAGGGTCCGTGATGCCTGCAATATCATACTCTGCTGCGTTGGAGTAGCCTGAGGTGACCAAGTTACGAAGAGCTCGCACTAGAGATGGGATGTAGCGCCGGAAGTCCCTGACATAAGAAGGGTTCACCTCCAGGAGCGCAGTCAGCAAAGAGCAGCCTGCAAGAAGAACTCCATGGTTGCGATCCTCAAGGAGGTTCCCAATCTTACCGTTGAATTTGTCTTCTATCTCTTCCACCTTTCGGATGATTCTCATCGCACACAACGCTGCCTTTTTCCGCAGGTATGGATTGGATGACGTCATCATCTGCTCCACCTCCCGAGCCAAGGCTCTGCACATCTCATTGCTTCCGATGTTGCCCAAAGCACAGAGGGCTAGGCCGGTGACGTACTGATTGTCGCTGCTCATGTCGTTTTTGATTGAGTTTGTCACTAGCATGAGAACCTCCGTGTTCTCGTCCAGAAGCTGAGTCAGGCCAAGATAGCCTACACGCTTCTCGGGAAACTTGCTCGAAGCAATAAGCTTCAAACACTCCATTTGACCAAAGTGGGTTGGGTACCCCATCATGTGAATGAAAAGCAACTTTGCGACATTCCGATGTCTGAACTGGTTGTCGTCCTCTTTGAAGGCGGTGCGGATCAAGGCGCATTCTCTGGCTATGACCGCCCGTTCCTCTGCCGCAGTCTTGCATGCGCGGATGCTCCGGATTAGCTCACGGAGCTTGATGGACATGGCGTTACGAGGCCCGCCAGACCAAAAACCTTTCAAGTTCCTGTGGCGAGCCCAAGCGTCAGGCATAACATGACTCACACGTACTGCTAAACCAGCGAGCAGGAAGGTAACGGAGCCTGGCAGCTTATCGGTCGGACCTTCCGAGATGCCGACCATGCGCCCTCCCCTCGTGCCACAAGCCAGCACCTGCAACTTTACGCATTAGCACATGTCTCCCACCGATTTGGAAGCCCGAGCGCGTGCTCTTCAGTAAGACACAGAGCGCCGGTCGCTCTTTGTTAGTTCTGGGGCAATTCGTTCCGTTGGAAGTCCACATCTAAGACATGGAGTCTGACGTTCTCCTTCGTTCTCTCTCCTTCGCCCTCGCAACCGATGCACGCCTTCTGCTCTCGCCGACCAGTTACAAGATACACCGCACTCCGCTGCAGCATCAAACACTGCCAGCTTTCAACCTTAAGCCGCTAACTTCAGACTATGACCCTCGCCATGTCGGATATTCGAGTGTTTCGCAGGCACTGCTGTGTTGACTCCTGCCTGACGACTCATGTTTCTTGTCTGTTGATTGAAACAGAAGGCATGGTCTCGAAGCTTCACAAAGCTTCAGCTTGCTCGAAACCCTCAGGAAGAACGACGCAGCTGGCGAGGACATAACTGACTGCTGTATTGAAACGTACTGCGACTAGCAAGACTGTTCCTGGCGGCAGGAGGCAGGCCTGTTTTCGAGGGTTGTAGTCAACGCTGGTCACCTTGTCCCCGCTGAGGCTGTTGCGCTCATCAATGCCCTGCAGATGTACGTTGCTCAGTGCTGGAGCGGAATTGGGATTGGAAGGTGGCTTTAGGTCGACAAGCTATATCATGTGCACCTGGCTAGCAACGCAGAACGAAGGACCGACCCATGCACGTGCCTGGAGCGTGAGAATGTAGTTTTCATCATCGGCCAGATTCCATAACCTGGAATAGGCTTCGGGCCCAAATCATTCAAACTGCACCGGATACACAGGCAGCAAGTGTCATGCACGTGCCTAACGATGCTCTCGTGGCTGCAAGTTGCCAGCAGCCCGGGTCCAGCCTTCGTGTCACACCACTCGTCTCGTGCGAGAGCCTCCCCTCTCCGCTTCTGGGGCTGCCGGCTCTTGTGCTGGATCACTACTTTTCTGCTGGGCAGAGGTATTAAGTCAGACTGGCCTTTGGCCAAAGCCTGCTCAAGAGAGCTAGACTGACGAAGCCTTCTGCTGCTCGGCTCTGTACAATGTTTGAAAGTCTTCGCACACATTCACCCAGTCCGGGAATGCTTAGCAGTCGGACGAGGTGGTCCGTTTCAACAGACCTGGCCTGCTTCAACAGGGAGGAACGGGTGCAAGGACTGCAAAGGAGCACTGCTTTAAAAAAATCTAGCGGGCTGCTCCGGCAGCGAAGACACACGTCAGTCGGAGTCGGGACGCCAGTGGAGACACCCAGGGTTACGTCGTCCTAAGCAGTGAAAGTGACGAAGCAAAGACTTAAGACCGGACAAACACATACGTCGGCTCGCCGCGCAGCTATGGATTTCCATTTCATTCGGAAGTAGCTGTAGCTCGGTTCTTGATGTAGGGCACTCCCTGAAGAATACCGCACGAGCTTGATCCGCAATTTCCCTTTGAGATCTTGTACAAGAGCCCGCCCAGGCCGACGCCCCAACCAAGGTCGGGCCCCAAAAAAGACAAAAACGATCCGCTGCACCCCCCCCCCCATACCCCTCCCAAGCCCTCAAGGTGGATCCGTGAAGAAGAGCTCTGCCAAACTTGTACTGACCCGTTGGCGTTTTTCGACTCAGATGTGCCACTTGCAGCTACTCGAACTTGATAGCATCCCGGGCGCGGCGCCTTACACAGAGAACATGTGTGTGACCTCGCCGCCATCGACAGAAGGCCGATTTTCTGCCTCAGCAGCACCAGCCATGGATCTCCTAACCCCACTAGTTAAAACCAGACGGGCCACCTTCGCTTGCAATGCAGCCATCGAAGGAGGAGGACCTGACAGACTTCATTTTCGACTTGCTCTGCTTGGCTTGGCTTTCGCAGAAACCATCTGAGGCCCACCAGCATGTCTCGGCGAGTGCATCTGTGCTCCTTCACCTCAGTCTCGGAGCAGCTGGGTTTTGCTTTCCGATGCATTTTGTATGGCTCCGCTGCTGACACGTTTTGCCGAGCGACTTGAAGGGCTCCGGGCAGAGAGTCTTCGACCTGAGGCCCTCCGACCTCCTCGCGAATTCCTGCATTCTGTGTGGCTTCCTGTGACTATCCATGCGAGGCCGCGGGGGCGAGGCCTCCTCCCGGAATGGCCGTGGCCGTGGCCATGGCCATGGCCATGGCCGTGGCCGTGACCGCCGTGGCTGCTGGCCTGGCTGGCCCTTCTCCTGAGCA